GTTACCAATATACTCACGGACCACTAGGGGGCGCTCACGGACCACCAGTGGTCCGCGGACCACACTTTGAGAAGCACTGCTCTAATGGAAACGCAGCATAAAGTGAGCCTGGCCTACCAAGGCCTAACTATACCGTACTAAGCCGTGCGAGGCCCTGCAGTGAAATGCGCCATTAGTGAGTAAATGTACTTATTGACATTACAGACAAAATGTTTCCTTTTTGTTCTTCTAAGATTTGCACTTGTTTCACACTGTGTTGTGTCTCCAGGTGTTTCACCCCTCCCCCCTTGTTTCAGACTGAGGGGAGGCGGAGCTGAACACCTAAAGGAAACCATCTTTATCACTCATGACTCCAAAGTATGAAGAAAGATTGGAAAAACTGAAAATGAGACAGACAGAATCAAAGACGGTTTCTAACCCTCGAGAAGTTCATCAAAGTCATCGACAAAGAACTCCCGCAGCGGAGGTCTGCGAGGCTGCTTCAGCGTGTTCACAAGCTGCTGGATTTTAGCTGACACGCGACTGCTGACTGGAACACCTGTAAAAACCCCACACACATACATTTGGTTTTTGTAGCTTTTTCTTTCATAATCTTGTTTTTATATTTGGTTTTATTTGCAATCTTTCCTACTTTATAGCGCTGCACAAAATGTCCCTTAGGATAAATAAAGTTTTATCTGATATTTTGTAGAAACATGAGGTAGGGGTAATGTTTTTGAATAATTCCACACTGATGCAGGACACTCCTTGTTATCTTATCAAAAAATAATTCCTTTAAACCTCAAGTGTCACGGTAAGTTAGTAAGATAGTGACTGCTGATGGATCGCTGGTTCGAATCTCCAGATGGTTTGTGAAATATACGGGAAATAATTGAATAATAAACACAGAGGAGCAGCCAAGTGGTTATTTTCTAACTGGGATTGCATGATCAGGAACTATGTTATCCCACAGGCAATGAACTCCTGAACTCACCACTCACATATGAAAATAATAAACTGTTATTCGGTACATTTGTTAATTCCACATTTCCACAAATGTACATATTCTGCTGTACAGTATTTGAAAGTACATTTTGTTTTATCTCATTCTATCTCACAGCAGTATACTCATCCCTGCGTTTTACTCGCACATTGTAAATCTTGCACATATTTGACTTCCTAATTTCTTTTATGTCTTATATATAGTTGACGTTGCACTGGCCGGGCCTGGGACTTTATCTTTGAAATGATAGTGAAACACGCGCTGAAAAAGAACAAGTCAGCTTTCTTTAAATAAAAAAACAATGAAAGTAAAACAAAAAGTCCAATCTGTTCATCCAGGGGAGTGACATGAACAGACAGTGTCATTGGTCAGTTCTCTAAGGCGGCCGTCCAATTTGCTCCTCACGAAGGAGTTTCTATTTTTACCCGACTTCAGTGTCTTTATGGTCTGGTTTGGGGGTGGGGGGGGTGAAGGTGCAGCGGTGACTCTTACCATCGCCCGTCTCCATGCGCTCTGCGTTGCCGTACTTCTGCGTGTTCCTGGCGATGGTTCCCATGTTGGACATGTGGTGGCGCTCGGGGTGGGGGTGGGACGCGTCCGAGGAGTAGCCCGTCACATCCGGGGGGGCCGTGTGGTTCTCTGGAGGGAGACATGAGGGGGGGAGTGATGCAGCAGATGGAGAGAGGTAGATGCAAACACAGAAGAACAGCCAGTGGTGACTAAGTGTTCATCACTCTACTGATGGAGTTGTTTTATCATTATTATAAGGCAGATTTTTTTTTTTTTAATTGTGCATTTTCACACATAATCAGATGACATTTATCTATTCCCAGGGGCGGCGGGTACTGTAGGCTAGGGAGGGCTAAGCCTTCCCAAATATGTGTGTCACTGCATCCTGGTAAAATAAAAATATAATGTATAATGTTTGTGTCTTTGACATTAGCGCTGCCATGCAGCCACCTGTGCCCTGTACGAAGCCAGTTCAACAGACCCTGGATATGTTTGAGTTATCTTAACTAACCCTAACAAACGAGATCTCCTACGACGCTGGTTATCAACTCGGTAAATCAAGCCAGGGTTTCTTTCTCAAGCTGAGAGCGCATTCACGTGAAAGGGGCGGGGCTAGCAACATTTGACCAATCACAAACAAGGACAAGTCAGAGCCGTATCTGGGACAAGCGTACTGACAACGCAGCGTCATACTTCATTAATGAAAAGTAAACTAATATTAGACAAATATGAACTTTAAGCATCCATGACTTAAACATATAATCCAGGATACAAGCCACATAGTTGCACCTNCTCTTAAATGTGTCTCAACCACAGACCTTATTTCCAGATATTTTCCCAAATCCTATGGAGAAATTGCATTGCTTTTTGGCGAAGGAACCGGAAGTAGTAAAATGCTAACTCACTTCCGGGTTTTAGGACGCATCACCGTGGCACTCTATTCGTCGTATTCTGGGCTTGTCAGTCATCTGTACTAGCCTGTACGAAAAGGTGCTTTACAGTACATACAATTGATTGAATTATTTTAATGGACAGACACATTTAACGTAGTTTACTGGCTGCAGCTGTGTTTGTTTTTACCGTAAATCTGTCAGTGGTGTTGGCATGCTTCAGAAAATGTGCATGTTTGCAGTTTAATTGTGGAATGAGTGTGTTCCTCTGATGGAAAGAGACACAGCATTACTATATAGTCTTGTCTGGGCACTGGGCAGCCGCTCTGGGGTCACGTTTTATTCTTAGAGCAACCCAGTTTGGCCTAGAAAACCAATGTGTGTGTGTGTCAGCGCTTTCCAAGCATTTTTAAATGCGAAGTCACAGGAAAATGTTTGCTTTTAATGAATTCTCCCCAAGAACTGTTCTCATCAGGAGGTTGTGTTGAATAACTGAAGATGTGTGCAGGTGTGTGTTTGTGTCCTTCACCTGGAGGTGTGTATGCGTCCATGGAGGTCTGCACCACCAGCGAGCGTCGTTTGGAAGGCATCGGCACGGCAACCTTCCTCTCCACATGTCGCGCCAGCACCGCCTGGACCGCCTCAGTGTGGACGTCTGAGAGAGAGAGAGAGAGAGAGAGAGAGAGAGAGAGAGAGAGAGAGAGAGAGATTCACTCACACAAACTTCACAGGAGATTTTGTATCTGAATATAGGATTGGATTTTTAAATACTTTTAATGGAAGGAGTCAAATATCAATGTATGAGTTACAGTGCCATATAACATAGTTACCTAAGTGGAAATCAATAATAAGTATAATATCATTAAACTGCCAATAGGAAGAAGCTGCATGAGTTTGCAGTGCTTCATCTTTTTGAATTTCTTATTTAGTAGCTTAACTTTGTATAAATATATTTTGAATCACATTAAAGCAGATAGGGCCATTAGAGAGCCCGATGTTTAATTATTGAAGATGAGATGTTGGCAGTTAAAAAGCTCTTAACATCAGTGCAGTTAATAGGAGGACTTGATATTGAATATATAATATTTCTGCTTGCATAATGAACTTTTGTTAGAAAAAGTGCTTTCAATTAGCATTAGCATGACGCAAAGGATCCAGTTTTTTTTTGTTGCATGAACTATAATGGGATCTAAAAGTCTCCATTTATTTTCACTCAAAGGATTCCCTAACGTAATGGAGGTGCTATACTAACTAATATAGCGAATATTGAGCACATTAACAGTACTGTTGTTCTCTGTACCTGATCGATAGCGCTCGTCTCTGGTGCCTGAGGTCCGCCGCCGGTGGAAACGGGCAGCAGACGGAGGGCCGAGTGGGGCCCGGTGAGACAGGGGCCCCTCCATCCCTACAGAAGCAAGCAGGCAAGCAGGCGGATACACACACACATATATATCAACATACACAGACACACACACAGAGATATGCACATACACGTTTCGCAAAAGCAATAAATTCAGTGCGGAAAAAAAAGAAACATGGAGATGATTTGAATCGGCAGAAAAATATAATTTTTCTGACATCATAAAACAAAATAATAAAAAAATAACGTAAACAAATTAAATTATAATATTGTGGTATTTTTGCTCTGACAGAATATCCCCCCTCGGTAGTTTGTGACCCATTCTGAAACCGGAGCTACATCCGTGTAATGGACGAAAACGCGTGTGTGCGTGTGTGCGTGCATGCGTGCGTGCGTGTGTGGAGGCAGGACGTTCAGAGAGCCCCAGGCTGAGCTCGAGGGAGTCTTAACCTACATTTACTAGTGACGGCAGCTGAAGACTAAATCGATAGAGTAGTAGAGTATAGAGTGGTGCAGGGATGACATTTTTAATCTCCACAGATTTACACCACTTTTATGATTTTTAAAGTTGAAATGAAATAGCTAGAAGTAAAAAGCTAATGTTATGCTACATCACGACAATGCGGCTAAGCTAAAGGCGGCTAGTTATTGACGTGATGACGTTTAGTAGTCTTATTTAGTCACTTGTTAGCTACCAGCTTTTTTATGACATATAGAAGTTTTAGAAATTTCACTAGTAGGGTATTTATTTACTGACAGTTTTCATGTTGTAGGAATAAAAGTTGAAGTAAAATGCTGACTCATTCCTGCACCACTCCATTCGCAGCTGTATTTGTCATGTTCCCAGATCGATACCCTAGCAGTGATGTATATGAATATTTAATCTGTGTGTTGTGGAGGTCAGAGGTCGCTAAATTACCTCCAGCATGTGGAAAATATGCCCTGATCAGTTTGGACCGCTTCTTCTCATAACCCTTCTGAGTGATGTCCCCTGCAAACAGATAGAGATAGATAGAGTGAGAGAGCCAGCGACGGCTGTGGGGCCGCTTTGATTTTTATTCACTTTATCAGGAATAAACATTATTTTTTAACTTGGAGGGGAGTGCTGGTGGCTTGTTGGACAGCCAATCAGCACATGGCCCTCAGTTTGATTGCGAGACACTTTGTCTCATGTCCCACAGCCTCTTCTGTCTCTCACAGTCTTTTATTGTCTCCGTCTAAAGTGTTAATTCAAGATATGAAAACATGAGAAACATAAATAAAATAACAGAAAGGATTATGATGTGATAATGAAAATGAAAAGAAAAAAGAACAATGAAGATTTCAAGAGTCAACTTTAGCTGGCCCCCTGAAGCCTCCGGAGCAGCGTTTCCGCCAGGGGGGCGTCTTGCCGTCATTTGACGCCTGAACTCGAGCCGAGGGCGTCCAAAAAAATTCATAATTCGAGAGAAGATCGAGAGTTTTTATCGCTTGAAATGACGAAAAGGAAAAAGGACATCCCTCTGTTGGAGGGGCAAAGGAGTCTGGTGGGATTCTTTTCGCCGCCAGCAAAGCGTGTTCCTGTGACGGAAAGTGTGCTGCCGGCGAGCCTTGACGGGGGGTGCTAGTGGAGCAAAATGAAGAGCCGTTTAGGAGCCGAAAGAGCCGGCTCTTCTTAGTGAGCCGAGCGAAATTATCTGGCTCACTAAGAAGAGCCGGAATTCCAATCACTAATACGTAAAGAGGCTCTTGGTGTTTCTCAATCGCGAGTATGCTTGCTTGGTAGCACATGTCTGCCGAGCGTCTTGGTTCAGAAGCGAGGCAAGAATACTTCCTGGCATTCGGAAAACAAAGAGTGGAACAGGCGAGCAAGTGTGCGTCAATTGAGAGGCCCCGCCTTACATTTTCCGCCACAGATTTGGGGAAATTGGTCCGTGCGCAAAGCATTGTGGACCGCGGAGTCTACATATGTGCAGCCTCGAAATTTCTCCTAACGAAGTACGCCGGGCTCGGTAGATTTCCAAGTATGCTGGAGATTGGAACAGTACTTCGGCGGCACTCGATTACGTAGTATGCTTGAAATAGTGGCTCTGGAGCAGCTTTACTCGCGATTGAGAAACACCCCGTATCTATAACTTAAGGGACGGCTCAATTCAAAATTGAAGTCACGTGACACGACGTGACGTCACACACCCCCGCTCTCCTCGGGGTGGACACCCTCTCAGCCCTGGCCTGGCGGAAACGCTGCTCTGGAGGTCTGATATCACAATGGGTACGTTTCTTTAGGGAGGGAGAGCTTCAATCAGGAGGTCGATGGTTCGATCCCCACTCTCTGCAGTCAACATGTTGATGTGTCCTTGGGCATGAGACTCAACCCCAAGTTCGCTCCTGAGTGCCAATGGCTGTGAGTGTGTGTGAATGTTAGTCTCCGTAATTGGTTGGCACCATTATTTCAGGAAATCAAAACCTAAAATGCTTCTTCCGTCAGTAGTGTCATTTTGTAGTTTCCTCAAGAGAAGACATACTCCTCCCCCGCAAATAATAAAAACTGTTGAGACAAAATCGACCTTGCTGAGAAGAGGACTTTGGGCGAGGCTGTTTCCAAGGATAGAAACAATGGAAGGAGCTTATCGTGTCACACAGGAGACCAACAGTTACAACTCTAGGTCCGACAACCAATCAAAGTGTGTGGTCTGTGCGAGGGGCTTGTCCGATTAAACAAAACCGCCCACAGAATCTCATGTTGGAATCAGGGAGGATACATCCCACATGTTACTTCCTGAAACAGACAATCTGAGAATGATGTAAATGGCCAGATGTGTGGAGAAGCTCTCATTCATTATTCAGCTCGCAAAATAAATAACTCCATCATCGACCTCCATACATTCTCCATCGCAGGGTACACAATCACACAATGTTACAGCAGATATATGGCAACATCGCACCTCTCAGCTAGCGCCTAATTCAACGCCAGTCTACATTCGTTTTGTGAACTTATTTCAGATCTTATTCTATAAAGAGGGACAAAGCCATCGGTAACCAGAAATACTAGAAGACTGTAGTGCTCTCGACTTAATGTAGATCACTGGATGAAGATGATATACATTTTTAATGCTAATTGCCTGTTCTTCCTCTCCTCTCCATACAAACTACCATCCAGAGAAGTCTACCAAAGAACAGGTTTTCATCATAACGAAAAATATGATAGCTGACTGCTTGATAAAGAGGTGGAAATACACCATCAGTAGACATGAAGATAAGACATTTCCAGTATGAGGGTAAGAGTGGACAGCAGCAGAGGTCAGAGTGGAGGCGGAACATGGAGAAACATCAGAGTCCCTCAGGGGGTTTCTGCTGCCCCCACCTTTCCAACATCTGTCAATCACAGCACCCCGGGGTCCTTGAGCGGGGCTAATAACAGCTAATACCTCCTCGTTAGCCCCCATTAAATACTGCTAAACTGCCTCACACCGGTTTTCTAATTATTGATTCCTTTTGACTGCCACAGAGAGGTTTACCTCGCCTACAACAGGGAAGCTAATCCAACACAACTGTGTAAGAAATGCAGAAAAAGAATTGCGTGCACACGAACATGCTGTTGTGATAATATGCTATAAACAAGGCAGATGGCAGGTGGGCACTTCATCACAATATGAGAAGTATCTTGTTACTCGAAATATGTAAAAATACAACAACAGTTCGACTTGTTTAACAAAAGTTGAAAGATATCTGGGTGTTGGGAAAAAGTAAATTTTCCGATACAAATATAAGTATTAAAAGCCAACAACTGGATATATTAGATTTCTGTTGATGGAGACAGAAGCCATGAAAATACAAAAAACAGTTTTATGTCTCAAGAATAAGAAGGTTAGGGTAAATATTGCACAGATATAATTGAATAAGAAATAAAACAATGAGTGGAAACACATCACCAGATGTCATCTTTGTTTAAAAACTTGGATCACTAATCTGTTTGTTGTTGCTTGTGTTCTGCAAAGCTGTTGTTTCTTTTGAAAGAAGATAATTTATCACACCTGAGCGCTCATTCCATTTGCCAAAAAAGGAACTCAGCTGTTTGCACACAGATTGTGTTCCTTCCTTCTATTCTGGGTGTGTGTGGGGGGGGGTGTGTTTGGCTCCAGGGCATAGTTGCAGCTGTGCATCATACAAACACATATCGACTACATAACTAACTGCTGGCTTCTGCAATGTTCAAGATCCAATTAAAAGATGCATATCTTAGAGAGAGGGACATCTTTCTCTCAGCTTAATGAACTAAACATTCCTGGGGAGGTCTCTGGACTACAAGCATGGCCAAAACTCAAACAGGGTAAACGGTTGCAAATTCCTGAATGAGCTTGAATATAAAATATGTAAGCCGGTCTGCTGCAGAGCGTTGTGGCGCGTCTGTTTTTATTGAGAGAGTGAATGAATTGTGGCTGAAAGAAAAAGGAGTGTCGGATAATAGACCACATTTTTTTGTAAATAGAGAGAGAAAAAACGACAAGAGTTTGCATTTCACAATCGGACCATGGACAACGGCCAGAACATCTGGGTCCAATCTGCTCATCTGCGCTGCTGCGTGTGTGAGCGAGTGTGTGTGTGTTGTATCCGAGTGAGGCCTTTTCTCAGATCAACCGCAGCATAACAACATTCCTGCTTCTTCTCTCTCTCACTGTCTCTCTCTCTCTCTCTCTCTCTCTCTCTCACACACACACACACACACATGCACACACACACCCACACATGCACACACAGGTCCATGGGGAGACGCCATCTTCCACATGCAGCGCAGCAGAGCAGGGAGGGTGTTGCCTAGCAACGGTTCTCCTGGAGAAAAAAGGACCGAGACAGCCATCTTGGATTTGGAGCATCGGATGTGAGCAGTGGGGTAATGATACCTGCCAGGGTGTGTGCATATGTTTGTGTCTCTGTGTGATGTGTGTGTGTGATACCAGTCTGTGTTGGCAGCCTAATTACTTTCCTCCGTCTCCTCGCTCCCTCTCTCTCACACTCGGCTGTTTTAATGGCACGCAGCTGAGGGAGAATCGATCGGCCGGCTGCAGATTGGAGTTTTTCCGCCCGCTGAGATCAACAGGTCTGCAGCTCTCAGCGAGGAGAAAAAACTCTGAAAAACAATGTTGGCAGGTTCACCGTAAACCTGCCATGTCCTCTGTACTGAACACATCGTCCCTAATACTTCCCATTTCCATTCTGGGATGTCTGTCCAACAGGCAAGGAATTTGATTGCCTCAAATATTATATACAGGATATTTATTACACCAGATATATTGAAATATGCCAATTCTGATATGTTCAAACAAAAAATTGATTAAGTAGTGATGCCCGTGTCAGGGTTTTTTATTACCTGCAACCACCGGACCCGTTATGAAACCCAATCCACGCTGACTAGCCTGCAGAAATATGCAATAAAACACCTGCCCGGTGTATTTAACAGATCTGCACCTTCTACTCAATCAGTTTTATTACGCTGCTTTGCATTCTGGACTTTACCTTCACCTCCATCTTTGATTTTGAGGGACTGATTATAAATCCTGAAAGTTGATGTGATTTCCCTCACAGTTTTTGCTTTAAATGATTTTATTTTTTATTTGGGAAATATTAAGTGTCAAGGTGTTATTAATAGGCTGATCTGAACGGTAGTCTACTTACATTTTGAATTATTTTATTCAGGTAAAGTTGTTGTGTTAAGACAACATCTAGAGGACTTGGCTTATTTTGTCCTCTAAGTTTTTAACCAAAATAGGTTTTTTTAAACTAGCGTTTGGTACAGAAATCAGGCATCATATCAACATTAGTATACATTTTTTAAAGATATAATCTCTAAGGGGTGTGTGTCAGAAAACAACATTATCAGGCTATTAAATGGACCTTCCTACTTTTCCCTCTGTCCCGCTTTATTTGATCTCTCTCTCTGTCTTATCACATTATCATAAACAGACAGTCCACCCACAGGCCACCATGGTAACCAAATCTACCTCCAGCAGGCAG